AATGCTCCTTGGAAGCGAGAATGACCATATTTCGTCTCACCTATTTTGGTCATGTTGTCAGAAGAGACCATTCCATGGAGAAGGATGTCATGCTTGGTAGGGTGGAGGGCCGACAAAAGAGAGGGGGGCCTTCAACAAGATGGATTGACATGGTGGCTGCAATGATGGGCTCAAGTATATCAGGGATCGTGGAGCTGGCACGGAATCGGGCAGTGTTTTGTTCTGCTGTGCATGGGGTGGCTATGAGTCGGAAACGACTTGATGACACCTAACAACAGCAACAACAACATTTTTATCTGACCCTCAACTTTGCCAAACATTATGTCCTTGTGCCATGAGTGTTCACTCTTGATAACAGGTCCAAATTATATGAGATGAAGTATCATCATCCTTGCTTCAAAGGAACATTTTGTCTGTACTTCTTTCAAGAAAGATTCGTTTATTATCTAGCAACCTATGGTATATTCATTGTTGATAACACCATAATTCAAAGGCACTAATTCTCCTTTGGTCTTCCTCATTCATGGTGTAACTTTCACATACACGTGAAGCTATTGAAAATACCATGGCTTAGGTCAGGAACACTCTAGCCTTTAAAGTGAGGTCTTTGCTTTTGAACACTTCAAAGAGGTGTTCTGCAGCAGATTTGCCCAATGCAGTATGTTATTTGATTTCTTTTCTTCTGGTTCTATGGCCACTGATTGTGGATCTAACTAAAACTAACCTTTGACAATGTCAATAATTTCTTCATTTGTCATGATGTTGCATATTGGTCCAATTGTGAGGATATTTGTTTTCTTTATGTTAAGGTGTAAACCATACTGAAGTCTGTGGTCCTATAATCACTAATAAAATTTGGTCTCTATATTTTTCTCTTCTAAGTAGGATCATACATTATTTGTACTTCTGTGTTTAAAGTATTTTACGTGGCTTGATGTGTTGAAGACTCATCTATGTTGCTGTTGTTGTTGTTGTTAGGTGCTGTTGAGTCATCTCCAACTCATAATGACCCTATGGATGGCAGAATGAAACACTGCATGGTCCTGTGCTGGCCTCATGATCCTTGCTATAACCTCAGCCTATCATTACAGCTGCTGTATCAATCCATCTCATTGAGGGCCTTCTTATTCTTTGTCGATCCTTCACTTTACCAAGCATGATATCTTTCTCCAGGGAGTGGTTCCTCCTGACACCATGACAAAAGTAGGTGAGATGAAGTCTGGCCATTATCACTTCCAAGGAGCATTGTGGCTGGACTTCATCTAGAACAGACCTGTTAGTACTTTTAGCAAAGCGTGGTACTCTCAGCATGCTTTTCCAACACCAAATACAGAAGCATCAACTCTTCTTCAGTCTTCCTTATCAAGAGCTCTTATCTATGTAGAAACCAAAAGGAAACCAAACTCACTGCTGTCAAATTGCTCTCAACTCATAGCGACCCCTCCTT